TTTTTTCATGACTTGACAGAGTTGTAACCATTTGAGTCAAATCTATAAAATGATGTTCTGCACAATCTTATGCAATGAGCAAAAAAAAATGGCTCCATATTTGTAGTATTGGCTGAGTTATAGCCATTTATGAGCTGCTTAATTCTGACTTGCTGTATTTGCATATTGTCCAGGACATCCTTGTAAAAGAGATTAATAATCTAAATGGATTTCTTTCTGGTAAAATAAAGGTTTAAATTAAAAAATAGTAATGAAACTAGAGCACACTCACAAGCAAAACCATTATCATCTGTCCTTCACCTCTCAGCGGCAGGCAATAAAAAATATTAAAGTTGTATGCTGTATAATTATTTCATCTTAAAAATAAACAGATCAAATAAATAATTGAAACGTCCAAATTATTGACCTCTGATTGTAAATTTATGCAGCATGTAATGTTCAAAATTAGCCGAAGCAACAACATGTTGGAGTGCAAATAACCTGGATCCCGTTTTCTCTCTCAGGGCTCAGCAGTTGTTGCTCGTACGGTTACGAAAAATGTCGCTGAACCAAAAGGACTTCAAGAGGAAGATGGTGGGAATGTTTCTTTTGAGATAATATGCACAATTCTTGTCATTAAAAAAAAAAGACAATATCAAAACAAATAGTTTTTCCTTATGTTAGTTGGTGTGTTTGTTTGTTGTAGTTTTCAAAGAAACCTTCTGGCCGCGTTCGACTGGTGAAAGCAGTGGATCCCGGCAGCCGCGGTGTCGGCTCCTCTCAGCCGGTTCTTTACACTCTCAGCAAACGTACGTTCCAGCCACATGCTCCCAGGTTGTGACAGCCTGGTCTGTTTGTTACAAATCGTTAACTTTTCATTGCTCGTGCGCATTTTTCATGATGAAATATCCTTATGTCAGGTCAAGAGGACCACTTAATCCCATACACTTTGGTGCAACCAGTGAAGGTTCAGGCCAAGCGGCCGGTCATCTTCTCCCCGTCTCTTCTTTCTCGAGGTCTGATAGAGAGGCTGCTGCAGCCAGCGGAGTCTGGACTGAAGTTCAACACCTGCCCACCTGGTGAGCACAACACTGATAATATAGGGTCCGATCAGCGAAGTCGTCCAAAATGATCATCCAGCCATTTTGGATGGGACTAGATCTGCATGTATCACTATGGTCCTTCAGTGAGTTGGTTCCAGCCAGGACCCATGTCAGAACCAGTGATCCTTCTACAAAACTTATAACTTTCAGGGGTCTGCAATCTGCGGCTCTGGAGCCACATGTGGCTCTTTGGTCCCTCTGCAGCAGCTCTTTCAAGCTTTGACCAAAACTAAAAACTGAATTTTATTGGTTGTTATATAAACAAAAAATAAAGCTGGTTTTGGCAGTTTTCAGGTTTTTTTTGGTCATTTCTTTTGCAAATATGCCATGACTAGAACTAATACAAGGAATAAAATACTCACTTTAAATTCATGCTTTATTTCTATACTTAATTATTTTTTCCACAATTAAAAAAATCACATAACAGCGCACAGTTTATAGTTTGTTTAAACAAAACAAAAAAAAAGGTAAAAAAAATTTTTTATTTATTTATTTTCCTTTTTTTTTCAAGAATATAGTATTTTATTTTGTTTTAAATTGTAAAAACATCAAAAGTTAAAATTAGCGCTGTCAATGGATTAAAAAATGTAATCAGATTAATCACACTCTGGGGCTGTGATTAATCTGATTAATCACTATGCTTAACTTTGTAAGCTTGAAATGTAATTATGCAGGTTTTCATAAAATGTTGAAGAAAATGTTTTATTGTGTCAAACCAAACAGTTTTCCAGGTTTTCATACTCGGCAAGGTTTACAGAAGTCAATTTGTTTCAAACGTTAATTTATAAATTAACTCAAATGTGTCATTGTCATCTATGTGATCAAAACATGTAAACAGCATTATTCCCTCTCATTTTTCATGTGTCTGGGCAAACACACAAGCTCCCTGAGCATCTGAGCATCCCTCTGCATCCTCTGTCCTCACTCCAACTACCTCCATGTCCTCTCTAACTTCAACCATAGATCTCCTCCTTGTCTTTTTCCTGGCAGCTGCATTTCTAACATCCTTCTACCAATATTGGGGGAGTGGTGGCACAGAGGTTAGAGAGGTGGGCCTGTGATCAGAAGATCACCGGTTCACGCCCCGGTACCGACAACATAAAAAAATAAAATAAAATGTGGGTGGTGTAGGTGAAGCACCCACACTTGCCCCTATCCTCATTCGCCCCACTCTGGACCCATGAGCAAGGCCTTTAACCACCCCATCTGCTCCCTAAACAGGTCTCTCTTGAAAATGAGTTCTCGTGGCTCAATGAGACTACCTGGATAAATAAAGGGTAAATGAAAGAAAAAAAAATTATATATATATATATATATATATATATATATACCCACTGTCCCTCCTCTGGACATGTCCAAACCATCTCAGTCTGGTCTCTCTAACTTTATCTCCCAGTTGTTCAACCTGTGCTGTACCTCTGATGATCTCATTCCTAATCTCATCCAGCCTTGTCACTCCTAAGGAGAACCTCAACATCTTCATTTCTGCCACTTCCTGTTCTTTCTCCTGTTTTTGTGTCAGTGCCACTGTCTCCAGACCATACAACACAGCTGGTCTCACCACTGTTTTGTAAACTTTCCCTTTGACCATCCAGATATACACAGAGTACTACTGTTTGCTAACACTTAGCATGATAAAAACTGCTACGAGTCAAGGGATTAGCTTACTTACCGCCTTTGTTTGACATCGTACGACCGTAAACTTCTGTGATAAATCCACAATGCCAAATATTATTCCTCGGTATGCGATGAAGTATGCAGTATAAAGCTTGGAAAATGCTAGAAGCCAAGGAGGTTGTTTGTAGCTACTTAGCTTTTTAGCGCCGAAACTCCAGAAGACGCTGATTGGCTGGAATGAAAGTTCACCTGTGAGTTCATTGGTTGAATTTTTTTTTACCTCTTCGTAAACTTCCGTTGTCGCTACACAAATCACGTGACACAGGACCTGTTTTGACCAGGGCGGTGGTGGGGTGGAGTCTTCCTCCACTGCACCCATTTCAGACAGGTTGTAGAGACCGCTGCGCTCAGGCTGATGGCCACTTTGCAACTGTGCAACTTGCGCGCAGAGAATGTGCAAGCAGTGCTCGATTGCGCAGACGCAGAACTTAGATCACGGATGCCCACACTTTTTCAGCATGCGAACTACTTTTAAAATTACCAAGTCCAAGTGATCTACCTACTATAAAAATGCAAAACATATACTTATTTATAAACATATTAAGTATGCTTTTTATGTTCTTGTTCTACGTTCTTGTTTTTAGTATTTTACCATGTTTTATATGGCACCTTGATTTATTGTTTTATGACACTCCTTTTATTTTAATTGCATTTTACTGTAGTTTTTTTGTTCTCTGTACTTTCTATGTTGTCTGTTGTCACAAGTCTCTCTTGTAAATGAGTCCTGTGACTCAATGAGACTAACCTGGATAAATAAAGATTGAATGAATGAATAAGTTCCAGCTCACTGTGGACGCAACATACAGTAAATGACAAAACCCAAAAGTATGTTTTTTTTTTTTTTTAAAGACTATTTATTTAGGCAGCACGGTGGCGCAACTGGTAGAGCTGCTGCCTCTCAGCGAACAGGTCCCTGGTTCAAACCCCGGTCCAGGGGCCTTTCTGGGTGGAGTTTGCATGTTCTCTCCGTGCATGCGTGGGTTTTCTCCGGGTGCTCCGGTTTCCTCCCACAGACCAAAAACATGCATGTTAGACTGATTGGTAACTCTAAATTGTCCCTAGGTGTGAGTGAGAGTGTGAATGGTTGTTTGTCTCGTTTGTCTCTATGTGTCCCTGTGATGGACTTGCGACCCGTCCAGGGTGTCCCCCGCCCCTCGCACAGTGATTGCTGGACATGGGCACCAGCGACCCCCGTGACCCAAAATGGAATAAGCGGGTAAAAGATAATGGATGGATGGACTATTTATTTTTACTGTCTGTGTACAAAGTAATAAACAAAACCCAGCAATAACTTCTGTTTTTCATACAAAGGAACAGAAAACAAACTTCATGCTTGAAAACCAACCTGAGAACCAAAGTGAAAACAGCCCTGACTGCAGCTGCTTTAACTGTAACCGTATTTCTTGGTACCTGGAGAGCTTTGATGGAAGATAATATTTCTGGTTTGTTTTTAAAGTCTCTGACCAACGAGTCAGCTGCTTCAACGAACACCATCTCTCCATCTTGAAAAGACTTCTTATGCTTAACAATTATTAAAGTGACTCACCCGGACTGATGCCACACTGCTGTGGTCAGCTGTAGGAGAGTGACTGCTGTCCAGATAACTGGGATTTTAGTTCCTTCACCGTTTTCTTTCTCTGCTCACTTTTCAGAAGGAAGGGAAGTCAGAGCCGCTCGGGTGAAACGCACTTTGAATCTTGAAAAAAAAAAAAGTCCTCCCCACAATTCCATATGGAAATAGTAGAATTTTTGCTTCTTACTTGGTCCAGCTCCCCAACTCATTTTACACACTTAAGAGTTTAGACTGGAGGCTGTTACGAGTCAACTTGTTTGCTTTTAGCACGGTTGAATGCGCATGTGCGGTGACCTATGCGTCAGAAAAGATTCTGTCTCTGATTGGCTGCCCTGTGTGTCAATCATGGGCGCCGCTGTTTGTGCACGCGTGGTGACCTATAAAGGGTCGGTCTCAGACTGGCTGCCCTGTGTGTCAGTCAAGTGACGATTTGCATAGTGAAGATCGATTGATCGGCTGACGTCTATTTACAAATAAAATTAAAAGAAAGGTCTGACATCTATTTCGCCATGCGATCTACTGATATTACCCGCCATATTGGGCACCCCTGGCTTAGCGGGATCATTGGAACAGTATAGTAATGGATTAATCTGCATTAATGTGTTAATCTTTTTAGATTAATCGCATAACACGTTAACGTTGACCGCCCTAGTTAACCAGGTTAAAATCATTAGATATTTTTAGCTTTATAACCTGTGGCCCCTACTGGTCACAAAAAAAACCTCCAACAAACCTAAAGCGGTCCACGGGCCACCAGTTGATACTCACAGTTGTAACAGGTTGTTGCGGCTCTGAACACATTTAATTTAGTGAACGAAAAGCACAAAAATGTCTCTTTTGCTCGTAAAAGTTGCAGACCCCTGATCTAGATGGTCAAATGTAATCATCTTGGCAGCTTTCTTGCAGGTTCATGACTATGATGGAGCCGAATCAAAGCCCTTACTACACAAACCTGTTAGTTGTAGCAACATATTTGGCTTTCTTTGTGTTCTCACTGCTGTTATTCATTTAGATGCATCTTCATGGTAATTTTGGAAGAATCAGTTCAATTTGATGGTATGAATAGTCACTAAAACCAAATGATTCCTGTTGAGACGAGCATTTTGACAATTTTATGGGAAAATTTCATTTTTTTTTTAAATAGGATATTTAGTTCCAGTTAAAGGAGGAATAAAGTATACAAGAAAGCTTGCTTTGATAAATGTTGGTGAGTCTTTAGCTGATGAACTACATCATCTTTCTTCTGTTTGTTGTCTCCAGAACCCATTCCAGCTTTGGAGAGACAAGACAAGAAGGTGTTTCTGTTGGACACCTGCAGTCCAGAGCAGCCCATGGGCATACGGCTGGGGTCCATACAGGAAGTCATCAGTCAGGTACTAAAAAGCCACATTTCTGTGGTTTGTTTTGTTTATAAAAAATGCTCCATTTTTCCCCCCCTGTATGACAGAAAGGCAGGCCTCACCGTTGCTGAACAGACACTGTCACACATTGTTTCTTTTTATCTGTGCATCAGGACAGGCATTGTCTGCTAGAGCTGGGCATGTCCAGTGTTGAAGGCTTACTGAGACAGGGGATTTACCCCATCGTCATCCACATTCGCCCTAAAAACAAAAAGCACAAGAAGCTGAGGTGGGTGCAAACGTTTTGGCTTTTGATTAAATGCTGTTTTCATAACTTAATGTTGGATCAAATCAGTTTGAGTGTGGAAAGGTTCTGAGTCTGACGGCACAAAAAAGCAAAAATATGTTGTCTTTTCTTTTATTAGCATTTTTTATTTTTTATTTTGCAGCGTTAGCCCAAGAAATAATAATTAAACAATTGTTTAAGAAAATGTTTCACTTGAACAATTCCATTCCTTCATGTATTTTAGATGGCATCTTCTTCTAAATTTAGGTAAATTAAACTAATTAAAGAGCAGTTAAGTACAATTTGTTTTCTAGATATCGAACTAACTTTTGGTGAGGTAGTAGCTGAGAGTCATTCCCAAAACGATAGATGAGTGCTACTCACTGTGTAACATCTTGGCTTAAAACTTTGGCATTCAACTGTTGGCGCCCACTCTGTCTGTTAGCAAAATATCTCACAAACTACTGTACTGATTTAATTAAACTCTCAGGAAGTAATCGTTGGATGTAAAACTACAACTGATTATCTTTTGTAGTCAACCTGATTCAAGATGGCCGCCGCAGCCAGTGGACATTAACGAACATAAAAATGACTATAATTCAGTTTTACAGCATTGAGCTAACATTTGGTGTTGGAGCAGCTGAGAGTCATCCCCATCACACGAGCTTTACCTGATCATGCAAGATGTTTATTTAAAACTTTTGGCACGCAAGGTGGTGAGCGATGTGGTTTCCTTCAAGGATTATTAGTTATTTTAAATGTAAAACAATAATTATAAAATTTCCTTTCCAGGGGGGGCTGCATTGATGTAAGAAAGTATCATGAGTATTTAGTGCAACATTGTAGTGCTGCCTTCAAAACATGTTTTTTTTTTTTTCAAATTTTTTTAAAGCAAGACATATCCGACACAGATCACAGACATAGCTGCTGAAAAAATGATTTATAATAATAATAATAATAATAATAATAAACTTTATTTATATAGCACCTTCCAGCAATGCCTTGCATTGACCAAAGTGCTTTACAAGATAAAACAAGTAAAAACGGGGCACAATAAATCAGTGCAAATTAAAAACACAGCCCCACAATAAAAGTAGGTAAAGTAGATAAAAAAAAATACTAAAATACTAAAAGTTAAACATCAAAAGCCCTTTCAAATAAATGGGTCTTCAGTTTGGCTTTGAAGACCCATTTGGATTTGGGTGCAAACTGTGGCAGCACAGCAGCGAGAGCTGTTGTCTCACAGCAAGAAGATCACATGATCGCCTCCTGGTCCGTGCCCTTTCTGAGTGGAGTTAACATGTTAGGTGTGAGTGAGCGAGTGAATGGTTGTTTGTCTGTCCCTGTGATGGACTGGAGACCTGTCCAGGGTGTCCTCCGTCTCTTGCACAGTAGACAGCAGCTCCCTGTAAACCCACAAAGGAGAAGTGCGTAAAGAAAACAGATGGATATATAGATAGGAGAAAACTGATCTATGCAGACTGACATGACCCTAAAATGTGTTTTTATAGAATAATAAAAATCACAAATAGAATTTTTTTTTTTTTTTCTGATTTGAGGTCTTTGACTGATTTGAGGCAAGCCTTATGATAAATGTTTGATTAAATATTTCTGCAGGAAGTTTTTTCCTCGGTGTGGAGAGGACAGTGTGATGGAGGAGGTGTGCCAGGCTGAGGAGCTGCAGCTGGAGACCCTCCCCATGCTTTACTACACCCTGGAGCCCAGCACCTGGAGCTGCACGGAGGAGCTGCTCAAAGCCTTGTGTGACACCATACACAGCCAGCAGGGGGCGGTAGTTTGGGTTGAACTCGATAGGTTGCAATAAAAATTTATACCTGGATTAATGAGCATGAACTTTGGTGTTGTAACAGAAAACAAGTGTTCAACTGTTTATATTTTTTCAATAAATAACAAATCTATTTAACTGAACTGTTGAAAGCCCAAACAATAGCAGGATTTTTGTACACACTGTAGAGCGTTTTAAAGGTCATATTAGGTCTTTGTTCATACATTTCAGCAACAATTGTATTATTCACATACTAAGCATGTTTTATTTATAGCTATTACTGTATGTTTACATTATGAGAAAAGTAAAAAAATGAACAGATCTGAGCCACATAAAGAAGGTACAGACGTATTTGTAGGAACATGTGCATAAAGCAATATTACTTTCCCCTTCAGGTAACTTACTAATGTTAAACATTTATTCATTTGGTTTTGCCAAATACTTGTGTTCTGTACAGTTTAAAAAAAAAACTTCACTCATACCTATTTATCAAAGTACTGTAACCTTTGCTTATTAACTTTTTTATGTGTATGTTTTGTAGTAATTTCAGGTGAGCAGTCAGTTACTGCTGCTTTCAGTTTACACAAGGTTTCAGATGTTTTTACTCCGTTATTGTAGTCAGTTTTATTACAGAATTAACTGACCTGACTTCAGTTTTAATAGCAGACACATGTGACATGAATTTTAATAAATAATTTTTGCACTGTTCTTTCCAAGTATGTTATTAAAAGAAACTTAAAATATTTACTGTTAATTCTGTTAAAGAAATTGTGCTGAATTTTCTTCATCAGGCGTTGTGTCTGTCAGAATAAGCTTTTAGAAAAATAATAATAAACCTAAACCGATTTTTTTTTTTTTGTAATTTATTACACTACCTTTTTGTATTATAACACCACAAAAGGTGGCATTCATCTTCTTTGGGAAAGCAAAGCAAAGGGAAATGGTACAGTGGACAAAAATCAAAAGCTGTTTGTGTTCTTGGTGATATAACACCAGGAATTAAAAATGAGACAGTAGTAAATCAATAAACTGTTTATAGAGAACAAAGATTTTTATGCTTTTTTTGTGCAATCTATTGAAAATAGTGAAGTTCAATACTTAAAATATGTTGGATACGATCTGGTTTATGACAGATTTTCGAATTATGAATAAAGAAATGAACAGTAGTTAGTTCATGACATAGAGATTCAAATCAAAAGCATAATTTAGTCATAATCAGTAAAAACAAACAATATATGGCTTACAGTGCAAATGAAAGTCAATATAAATGTAATCAGACATAACTTATTCCATAATTAAATTGTAAACAAGCAAGAAAAACAATACAATTACCTCATAAAGAAAAGCTGAGTCGTCGTCGTCTTAGAACACATTTGTTTACTTTCGTTAGGCTCCGCCTGCTTCTGGTGTCATGGCGCCCCCTGGTGGACGGTGGCGGAACTCTCCGCGCCCCTCCTCCCGTCTCCGATCAACAAGCAGCCTGCCGCTGATATATGCTGCTAAACCACCTCACAGAAAGCAAAATGGCCGATAGTAAACTAACCGATCTCACAGCGTCTGACAGTCATCAAGGGGTTGTGCACGTTACGTTTACAGCTTGAATCGTAAAGCCGCGCAGAAAATTGGATTTTTGCGTTTCTTCATGGTTTTTTTTTCTACGAGCAACATTTTCGCCCACCTGGTGATGTCATTTCTTATTAAATCGAGCCTTGGAAGCCTCGAAGAACTAGCTTGCTAGGTTAGCTACCTTGCTAGCCTGCTAGCGGTAGGGCTGCAAGGATTTTTGCACAGAAGCACTTTATGTCCTGTGTGATTCCCGAGGTGAGCGTTAACACATGTTTTGTGTGTTTTGAGAGCTTTCTCGCAGAATATGTCTAGTTTTTCCTCTTATATTGCTTTTGTTGTGTACATTTTCTCTGCTATCAACATAGGTTTTTCAGCTAAACTCGGGCTAGCCTCGCTTGGTAGGCGTTGAATATAGAAACGTCACAAGTTCGTCGTCTAAATTAGCCCTGGCAAACATTATTTAGCAGTTCTCTCGCAGTCTTTATACAAACTTGCCAGTTGTGTTATTGTTCCACGTGTACGTTGTTAAATTAATTTAACAAAATGAAAGTGACTGAATGCACATTGGTGATTATGACGTTCGTCGACACGAATGTGAATTTGTAATTAAAATAAGGAGATCTCTTTCGATTATCGCACAGTTTTTACAAGCTGCTTTAACAATATAAACTTTAACAATATTATTCTTAGCGAGTGTTGACCACCAGCAGTCTGTGGCGTGTCTATATATTGGTTACAGCCGTGACATTTACATGAGGTTTAGGGTTAATTGCTCCTGTGGCTTCAGACATTTTCCATCTGTGGTTCTCCTGTATTTCACTAAATAAATATAAAATAATAATCTACTGGGTGTTTTACACACACGAGGAATAAAACCTACAAGTTACCATGTTAATTTATCAATGCTGTGGCACACTGCTAATTATGTGACCCAGAGAAGATGGTACCAGCATGTAATATAAACAGTTACTAAAATAAATGCTGAAATAAAACACTGCATTAGTTGGAAATCATGCTGGTTTTTTGGTGACAGGCGTTTGTGTTACATCTGCCTCGATCAGATCCATGTTGTGTTGCATGACTGGAATGCAGACCATGTTTTGTTTTGCATATTCATTCAACCTTTAGCAGGTTAATCCCATTGAGCCTCGGGGACTCATTTACAAGAGAGACCTGGATGTGTTAACTTTTGGTTGAATTTGTGGTCGATTTTAAAGATTGCCTCTTTGCAATATTGGGCATAAGAGACTAGTGGTGGTAACCTCAGGATCGTATTATGTGAACTCGTTTGACTTTTCCAGAAATATTTAAAGTTTGTTTGGCTGCTGCCTATGTTGTCTCCCAGCTAGAATCACAATGGTTTGCTGGTTAATGAATTATGCAGTGAGAAGGTAGGCTACCGAGGGTTGTTGTGAAGTTTTCTGCCCCTGGTTAACGTTACACTGTGTACAACACTGACATTGATGGAGTTTCTTTTGCAATCTGATAAAAACATGTTAAAATAAAACTTTAAATGCTTGTTTGAAAATGGGTTTTGAGTTTAGACTAACTGAATTCATTTGGGGTTTTAATGGTATAAATAATTTAATGTTTCTTTTTACAGACAGGAGAATCAAGAAGGGGAACAGCAGTTCATGGAAGACAAGAAAAAGAAGAAAGAAGAGAAAAAGAAAAGGGAAGCATCCCAGAAGGTAAATTATGTCCTGTCTTTGTGTGTATTTTATTTTTGTGAAAATCACTTGGGAAGTTTGTATGCTGTTTGAAATAAATGACAGTGTTATTAAAAGCACACTTTAATGATGCATTTAAACATGTTAGTTAATCTGAAAAAATATACTAAATCCAATTTCTTTAAATCAGACCTTTTTCCCTAGTCAGTACAGTTGGGAATTAATTACTCGTGTGTGCATGTACAATTAGACCTAAACTGGTCCAGGTGTCGAACATGTTTCAGTGTTTGCACACAGTTCTGACCTGGAAGTAACCTGAAAGAAAAAGTTGTCAGAAAAATTTTAACAACATTGTAAAATCCAGTGGAGCGGTTCGCAGCCGAGTGTGAAGCGGCTGGGATGAGAATCGGCACCTCCAAATCTGAGGACATGGTCCTCAACCGGAAAAGGGTGCATGGCTCTCTTCGGGTCGAGGGTGAGGTTCTGCCTCAAGTGGAGGAGTTCAAGTATCTTGGGGTTTTGTTCACGAATAAGGGAAGAATGGAGTGGGAGATTGACAGACGGATTGGTGCAGCATCTGCAGTATTGCGGACTCTGTACTGGTCTGTTGTGGTGAAGACGGAGCTGAGCTGTAAGGCAAAGCTTTCTGCTTACTGGTCGGTCTACGTTCCTACCCTCACCTATGGTCATGAGCTCTGGGTAGTGACCAAAAGAATGAGATCGTGGATACAGGTTGTTGAAATGTTTCCTCTGCAGGGTAGCTGGACAGCTGAGTGAAGCTGACACCCCACCCACTTCCAAAATTAAAGCAACTAGTCTGAATGGTTAGTGCTCCGTTAGTGCTGGTTTGTGCCGTTAAAATTTTCGTTTGTGCTGCTTTGCTTTCTGAGATATTAAAGATAAATTTTTAGCTCATCCAAAGGTCACAATCCCCCCATGTTGCTCCAAAACAGACGGGAGTGGTCTACTTTTTTAGTGCTTCGTTAGTGCTCGTGTGTTCCGGTGAAACTAGCGTTTGTGCTGCTTTAGTTTATGAGATATTAAGAATTATAATTTCGCCCGATGACGTCACCATCCCCCCATGTTGCTCCAAAACAGACGGGAGTGGTGACGTCATCGGGTGAAATTATAATTCTTAATATCTCATAAACTAAAGCAGCACAAACGCTAGTTTCACCGCAACAAACGAGCACTAACGAAGCACTAAAAAAGTAGACCACTCCCGTCTGTTTTGGAGCAACATGGGGGGATTGTGACCTTTGGATGAGCTAAAAATTAATCTTTAATATCTCAGAAAGCAAAGCAGCACAAACGAAAATTTTAACGGCACAAACCAGCACTAACGGAGCACTAACCATTCAGACTAGTTGCTTTAATTTTGGAAGTGGGTGGGGTGTCAGCTTCACTCAGCTTAGCTGGACTCTCCCTTAGAGATAAGGTGAGAAGTTCAGTTATCCGGGAGAGACTCGGGAGTAAAACCGCTACTCCTCCACATTGAGAGGAGCCAGTTGAAGTGGTTCGGGCATCTGGTAAGGACGCCCCATGGTCTCCTCCTTAGAGAGGTGCTTCGGGCATGTCCGACTGGGAAGAGACCCCGGGGAAGACCCAGGACACACTGGAGATACTATGTCTCTCGGTTGGCCTGTGAGTGCCTTGGAATCCTCCCAGAAGAGCTGGAAGAGGTGGCTGTGGAAAGAGATGTCTGGGCCTCCCTGCTCAAGCTGCTGCCCCCTCAACCCGACTTCGGAATAAGCAGAAGATGATGGATGGATGGAAAATCCAGATTTTAATACGTTTTGTAGTCATCAGTTTATCAACATCTTTAATATTTCCTTTTTTTCTGACACAATAGTTCAATCAGAATAAGTCAATTAATAACAAGCCAAAAGGGGAGATCTGCTACCTGTCATGGTGG